AGTGCACTCAGGAGGTCCTGAGCGGTGTTTAGACGTACCGCAGTCATGCTTCAGTGATTCACTATATAATCAACCAAATTTTTCCCACCAAAGGGGGGGGGGGGGCCTCTGCCTATGTATTAAGACCCCCTTTATCCTGGCTAGAATCGCCCCTGATATTACATGTAAATCAAGTCCCGGGTTAATTACTGTTAGCATAATAGCATAACGGTAATCACAAAGAGTGTGGTAATTTTAAAAAGGACGAGGATTTATAAATAAACAATTCTTGAAGAGGGGGAGAGTGCACTTCACGGTGATCGAAAAAAAAGTGCCTTGCATGTTATTTTCATCATCTTGTCTGAAACAGTCTGAATAATGAGCTTCAAGGCGAAGCGCGAAAATAAGTCATGTGAAATACTAACGTTGTACGGACAAACCCTTAAATCCCTCAATGTTATGTCAAATGAATTATAGCGAGGAAAAGTAAATTTAATTTAATATCAAAACTAAATATTTGTTATATTTCGCTCCTGATTTCTCAAGAAATCATAGAATCAATCAATGTATAAATTTCAATTATGCATGTCGGTGTGAGATCCATTTCATGAGACCAAGGATTTCTATAAAATCCTTGATGGGACCCTTTATATATATATATGTCTCTGATACAGTTTTCTATTTTCCCCGGAAAAAATTTAAAAAATATATAATCTTTTGGGAAATAATCCGATTTTGTTGAATTATTTCCTTTCATAATTATGATAAATCCTTTTAGTTCTTCAATTTTAAATTAAAATAAATATTTCATTTTGATCTAACGACAAACTTTTTAAATTGTAGTGGCATGGTCAGTCAACTGATTAGTTGCATGGCTGATTACCAGTTTACTGGTGACCCAGTAATTTTCCATATGACAGTGGCGTGTACCCTTGGGGTGTGTATAACTTATTTTGAATACCTTAATTTTCTGGGGAACATCCTGTCCACGTGTTATACTTAGTATATATTGCAACAGATGACATTAAACAAATTTTCTTTGTAGCATCGGTGTCCATTTCATGTTCAACCACTCAAAATTTTCACAAAAAAGATAATATAATAAAATCATTAAAAAAAAAGATTAAAAAAACACTAGCAAATAAACTTCGCAATGAGTAAACGGGGATTTGTGTTTTAAAGGGCTTATTTCCAGTGAATATATTTTATACTAGATAACTAGACCTGAGATAACTTTTTTTTTGTAATATATATTTTATTATTTTCATATCATTCTCAAATCTCGATCATCTTAAATAAAGATGTATAAAAAATAATTTTGTTATAACTCATAAATATATGGTTAATCATAATTGTTACAAATTATAAAATGGTAAGTCAATGCCCGATGTGCCGCCGTCTGTTGCAAAACAACGATTTAATCTTTTAAATGAAAGACGTGCACTGCCTTCATCGGAATAGAGGAAAGTCTACCTAGTGTACATTAAATAGTATCCGTTTGTTATGATGAAAAAAAAGAGATCATCATAAACTTTTTAGCAGACCTTCTCGTGTAAAAAAAAACAAACTTTTAACTGAATTAAACAAAAAATTATCAAACAAAACTCATTAGAAAACTCATAGTAACATTTTGTTTAGACCTGAGATAACTTATAGTAAGATTATTTATATAGAACAATAAAAAAAAAATGTCCAATCTGATACACGTACCTATAATCTGGGACTATTATACTAACTATTTTTTTAGTATAATAGTCCCAGCTATAATGTACAAAATTTTGAACAGCTTCAAATATATGGCCTTAACATTGGTAATGTATCATATTTGTATCAGTTATTGCTGAACGTGTAACCAAATTAAAATGAAGAAATAGGCTCGAAACCGCATTTTTTAAAGATATTTTTTTCAATCCCAAAATAGATAATTTTAATGTGCGTATTGTTATGCGTTTACTTTTCTACATTGGCTAGAGGTATAGGGGGAGGGTTGAGATCTCATAAACATGTTTAACCCCGCCGCATTTTTGCGTCTGTCCCAAGTCAGGAGCCTCTAGCCTTTGTTAGTCTTGTATTATTTTTAATTTTAGTTTCTTGTGTACAATTTGGAGTTTAGTATGGCGTTCATTATCACTGAACTAGTATATATATTTGTTTAGGGGCCAGCTGAAGGACGCCTCCGGGTGCGGGAATTTCTCGCTGCATTGAAGACCTGTTGGTGGCCTTCTGCTGTTGTCTGTTCTGTGGTCGGGTTGTTGTCTCTTTGACACATTCCCCATTTCCATTCTCAATTTTATTTTAAGAGATATGCAGATTAATTAAAGTCCCGATGAGAAGATTCACTTTCTTTTCTACCGAAGTAAATATATTAACAAAGATTTAGGATATCAATAAATTATTAAATTCATCAATTTATTAAATTTGAACATGTGAACCAAACAACGAAAAAAAATAAACGGGAAATTGGCTATACCTTTTTGAAGCCATGTATGTACCAGCCATTTTAACTTATTGTTTTCTTAACCTTTAAAGAATACATTTTAAAATGAACTACTTTATTTATAGTAGTTCAAGAAAAATATATATATATATTAAAAAGTTTTAAATTTTGTCCATGCTGTGCATAAAATAGGGAAAAATAATAAGGCTGAAAATGCACCAAATATTTATATTCAATATGAATATTCACATTTTGTCTATTACAACAATTTTTGAACAACTTGTTGTTGTAATAGACAAAATGTGAGTATTCATATTGAATATAAATATTTGGTGCATTTTCAGTCTTATTTTTTTTCCTACATATATTATATGGCCTTCCAAATACCGTTTCGATCCCTAACATCACTGAAGAGACATTAAATGTCGAAATCCGGATATGGTGTACAAATTTTTGCACCTCATGTTTGCGGTATACCATCTTTTCCGTAAGTTTATTGTTTTCTGTTTGGTATTTAATTAATATGTAAGATCCATTTTTTACATCTGGTGATCAATTTATTTGGTAATAGCCAATGGCAGTCAGCAGGGTTTAAGAACATCAGTTGTTCGACCTGTTAGTCAAATGCGTTTTGTTAAAATATACTTTTTCACTTTTTGGTCTTTTGGAAAATGTTGTTTATGCTGTATTTAGACCCCTCTACCAAGAAATTTGTTTTACATGCACACGTATAAAAATTGCGGTTTTTATCCAACGCAATCATAGGTTTGAACGTTGTTTTCAATTTAGACGTGTATATATATTAGATAACTTTTTCCTTTATATTCAATGGAACAAGAAGCGAATTCGTTAGCGAACTAGAGTAACTATAGAAATAGCGTCGTTACAGGTCTTCTTCTGACCGGCAATAAATCCTTAGCAGTAATGATAGTGGAACGTCCATTGGGTTGTGCTCAGACACGTCCGAATGGGGACGCTGAATCCTTGCAGCAACTCTTCAAGTGGACTATAAGTAGCCTGGTATTAGGCCAATTTTCTGTCCATCCTTTTTCGTTGGCAGTCGAAATTTTCCGACCGTATCACGGGCGGTCTCAATTACAAGACCTACATGTACCTATCATATATTATTCGGTACGTCAGACACACCCGACATTAATCAACCAAAAACTCAATATTTTACAGTAGGGAATGAATATCTCCAGATGAAGATTACATTATGACGTATGTTTTTTTTTAAAGACCAACAAATCGATTTTTATCACCAAATTTGTCTTTGCTGAGATTAACACTAAAAAAGTATAACAAAACGTAACGATTGAAAACTCACAGTTCAGTTTTTAAGATATTTTTTTCTTTGGAAACTAACAGACTAATTTTCAAAAAGTTTTTTTCTTGAACCATTATTTATGAAAACGAATTGTAAACAAAAGTTATTCTCAAATATTAATAATGATCAATGATTGTAAAGAAAAAAATCCATCATAGTAGTTTGTTAATTTACTGGCTCCATGGTGTTAAACATGTCACCTTTCTTTTACAAATAACTGATTAAAAATATGAAGCCTTTACTGTAAAATAAATCATTCTAATAAAAATAAATTCATCCAGATTTTTCTCTCATAACCTTTCAACAGTTATTGTAAACTAATTTATTCGAACTATAATAGTCCTATGACTTGCTGTCCGTTTACCAATATTTATACTTTATAAAATGTTTTCATATTCATTGATCATTAACTTCATGTTTTGCGAATACTTATAAGGGGGTAATTATTATAGTCAGTAATAGCTAACAATTTATCTAAAGAAAACGAGATGCTATATTCAAATTCTGAGATATGAATCTAGTTCTTTAAAAAAAAATTCTCCACAACAAAAATTCTACACTTTCATTTATCTGGGTCTTTTTGTCTCCGCTTCGAAGCCGCCATCCCGTACCAGACATATTTATTCGTTTGGCAATATACAATCATGTAAGCAATATACAACAGGCAGTAGATCTGAATTTGTAAATTGTTATTTTGGATTTTACCTGATTAGGACGTGTCTCGTTGGATTTTCTAATAAACTTACACACACATAATCTGACTTTTAATCGTAATGTTATGAGATCTATAAGAACATAGAGCTACTGTATAGGCCTAGTTGCATGCAAGTCTTTACAAATTATATATTTTGGTATGCTATAGTTGTTTTTATAGACTATTTGTCATTTGGCCTTTTTTTGTTGTTGTTTTTTTAGTTTTTGACATGGCGTTGACTCGGGTTTGATATATTATGCATCTTTTGTGCTGTATTTTAACAATTATTTACAAGCATGCTGCATGTTTACACATACATCACTATACCGCATCTAAATATAGCTTTATTGTAAAAAAAATAAGGAGATGTAGTATGATTGGTGATGAGACAACTATCAACCAGAATTTAAAATACCTTATATAAGCAATTGTGACTTACTTTCTTTACTCAGAGTGATCGTAAATTAATCAGATAAGCTGGAGGAGGGGTGGGGGCTTCATATAGACCCATATTAAATGAAAAGAAATTAGCATTAGCTTTTTGTGATAAATATAATTATAATAAACTCACAGTAACAGAAATAGCTCTTGAAAGCTCTGTCAGATCCCGGCACTTTTAACTGTTTTTTGACACGTGCTAAAAAATGCAGCACCTGGTTACAAGGGCTTATTTGACAAATTATCATCTTTCGTAATCTAAGTTATAAAATCTAAATTTTAAGTGATCTAAAATGTTCATGACTAACGAGTATTTTCACTTGTACGATTTTTCTGTGAAATGAGTCTAAGAGTATATACATGTATATCAGGATACTGACTGCATAGTAAAATATTTATGTACCATTAGTTGCGACTCATTTTGGTCTTTTAAGTAAGTTTCCTTCCCCTGCATTACTTGATCGCTTTTGTAAAAAATAAACAGCACAACTCGCACAACAACAACAGCACTCGACGTCAGTATTGTACCATAAAAATGAAAAAAATATTCAAAAAGAAGGCTCATAAAATTCAAATATTGGTAAGCACACACACTAACTTGTCACTACAGACATGATCTTTTTGTTAATGTGCCAAACTCGTTTCGTCCACAGGACGATGTCGATGGTGGGGAAAACCTAGTCCAAATAATTATGACGTCTTGCAAGGCTATTTAGGCGTCCCAGAAAAAAAAATAGTCTTGCCAGACGTCATAATTATTTGGACTAGGGAAAAACCAACAAATCATTAGTTCCCCAAATGAGTATCCTAGTTTAAAGTTTTTTTTTTAATATATACATGATTTAGCTATTTCATATTGGAATGGCACATATTCATGAAAAATCAACAAATGATCTGAAAGTCGGAAAGATGAATATAGTCCTCTGACTTCACAAACTTGGAAACAGTTGTGATGTTGCTTCGCTGAGCTATAGATAACCGTACGACCATCAACAATGACCAAAATTCATACCATATAGACAGGTGTTTGAGGACAGGAGTCGAGATTCACGTTGATAGTAAACATGCATATTAAGAGTAAAAGTATGGTATATTAGTATGTATATGGTACAAATAAGTGATATATATTGAAAAATCTAAGATTTATGATAATAAGGGGGAGGGACTATGGGCGGGGCTCAAAACAGGATCCTGTCCTCAAGCACCTATGCATATAGAAAGCTGTAAATATAATAAAAGGCCTAGAAATGACAAATGTAAAACAAATCAACAAGAAGCCTTACATTTATAATTGAATTTAAAATAGAATTGAAAATAGAAATGGGGAATGTGTCTGAGAGACAACAACCTGCCCAAAGAGCAGATGAGTCGGTCACCAATGTGACTTCAATGCAGCGAGAAAATCCCACAGCCTGAGGCGTGCTTCAGCTGGCTCCTTAACAAAAATGTATACTAGTTCAGTGATAATGGACGTCATACTAAACTCCAAAATATATAAAAGAAACTAAAATTAAATATCATACAAAACTGACAAATGCCACAAATAGGCTCCTGACTTGGGACAGGTGCAAAAATATGGTGGGGTTAAAAGCCTATATACTGTAAATTTCAGAAATTGTTGCATGCATTTATTAATATTGCCAATTAACATAATCATGATAATTTCCCTTTCTATTTAAAAAAAAAAAATTCTGATTTAAGTTTTTATTGTATATTGAGACTTTGGATAGTCTCAAGAATGCTTTCACCAATTTTTATGAAACTTTGGTGAATTGATTTTAAATATTGACATAAACTCCCTTTACATTTTTATGACCCATAGTCATGTGATAGTGGGTCAACCCTTGACCGTCTGTCCGTCTGTCCCAAAGTCATTGGTTTTTGTTCTCTAATTTAGTTTGCCTCAACCAAATGTTATAAAACTTTTACAAAAGCTTATTACCACAATACTCAGATCAAGTGTGAATTTTGGTGGTGTCAGTGTTGCCATTCTAGAGTTATGCCCCTTTACAAATGGAAAAATTGCTGAATTTTTGGTTTCCGGCTCTCTATCTTTAACTTTAGTTTGCCTCAAACAAATGTTATGAAACTTGCACACAATGCTTATTACCACAAAAAACAGTTTGAATTTTGATGGTGTCACTTTTACTGACTCAGTCTGTTCTAGAGTTATGTCCTTTACAGGTGGAAAAAATGATGAATTTTACGTTTCCGTCCTCTAAATTAAGTTTGCCTCAACCAAATTTTATTAAACTTTAACGCAATACTTTTTATCACAAAATCAGATCAAGTTATAATTTTAGTAGTATAAATTTTACCGTTCTTCAGTTATCTTCCTTTATAACTTTATATGATATGCAAGCCGGAGTATCATCCCCTATTTATTTTTATATAAGATGCAGAGTTATGGAATTTTAGTTGTTGGAAAATTGTTTAAAATTGTCCATTTTCACACTTTGGAAGGTTTTAGAATTGTATTTGTTCAAAAATCACGGCCTTAAACTTACAAAATGTATATACACTTGCAATATCCCTTAAAATGGAGCCAAATTATTTTCATGTTTTGTTTCAATGAATACCACTCTGTGTGCATGTCCTCTTTTAGCTCATCTGGCTCGAAAGGCCAAGTGAGCTTTTCTCATCACTTGGCGTCCGTCGTCGTCCGTTTCCGTTGTTAACTTTTTACATTTTGAACTTCTAGAGAACCACTGAATTCCTTATGAGGTGCTGACCAAGAGTTGTTACTTTGTTGCCAATCTATCATCCAAAATGGCCGGCAGCGGGGGACTTAGTTTAAGATAGGACCCTATAGGTAATACATACAAATGTCTTCTTTAAGAGAACCGCTGAATGGAATGAAACCAAACATAGCATGAATGTTCCTTATGAGGTGTTGACCAAGTGTTGTTACTCTGTAGCTGATGCATCATCAAAGACGGCCGACAGCGGAGTAGGACAATATTAAACCAAATATGGCCTCAATCATTATTAAAGTATCTGTTATGATTTTTATCTTTTTTATATGATTTCAAAAACCCAAATAGAGTCAGGTGAGCCACACAGGCTCTTTAGAGCCTGTAGTTTTGTTTTTTGTAGGTGGGGGGGGGGGGTGGGGGGGGGGGGGGGGTCTTAGTTGCACAGTGCTCAGAGTTTTTCTATAATGTAGTTGATCATTAAAATTCATTTAAAGCATAAACCCAAGCTAAAAGGGCAACAAGCTTATCAAGCACTCATGGTACAGCTTTTTATTAAACACGTACATTTGTATTGATATATAATACATTAAACAGCAAAATAATTATTGATGCAAGATGTCATTAAATAATAATTTTTACTCTTTTTATGTGTAGGACAAGAACTATAGAAGATGCAGAGAAATTATAAACAGCAGAAATGATAGGCAATTTAAAATTTGCAGAAGTCAACAAAACCTAAATGGTAAGTAAACTCATCATAGATACCAGGATTAAATTTTGTATTTACGCCAGACGCGCGTTTCGTCTACAAAACACTCATCAGTGATGCTCGATAAGACTCATAAGGCCACTTTTATAAAGTTATTGCCCTTGAAAGATGATTATCATGATTATTATAAAAATAAAAAGATGTGGCATATTAAATATGAAAACTATTGATCATTGCTCTAAGAAAGCAATTATAGGCCAGTGACGGCCTTCAATAATGAGAAAGTCCATACCCTATTGTCAAAGTAGTCAGCTATAAAAGGCCCTCAGACGAAAAATTGAAATAATCCCAACTGTAGAACTAATTGCCTAGTTTATAACAAAACAAATTAAAAAAAAATAAATATGACAGATATGAAACAACTACAACCACTAAATTTGAGTGTCAGAATAAACTACAGGCTCCGAACTTGGAACAGGCACAATCAGAATATGGCAAGGTTATATAAAAATAAGAAGATGTGGCATGATTGCCAATAAGACAACTCTTCACCAGACAACAAATGACATACCGGTAGATTTCCTGCAAAAAAATAAACAGTCCGAACAAAGCAGGAAATGTATACCTTTCTCTTAATCGAAAAGACACAAAGATCTGTTAGTACTCACAGCTACTGACAGCTAGTTAAAAATCAATAAAAACTAATACATGTAATAAAAAAATCAGGTTTGTGAGCACTCAACCCTACCTTAACCTTGGACAGTGGTTTAACAGCTCAACATATAAAGAACAAACTGTAAAAATAACCGTTGCAATTGCCTCAACTCGAAAGATTGATAAAATGCACAAAATCAACTACCGGGGTAATATAAAAACCCATAGACAAAAAGCACGGAATTAAGAGAACTCACAAGTCATGCAAGAAAGAAATGAAATATTCTTAAAATGTTCATAAACATGACAAAATAAGCTTTTTTATTGCTGTTTCTCTCTCCATTTATAACATTTTATTTGTTTATTTTGTGTATTTATAGGTGATCAGACATCTTGGTTTTCATGATCAATAGGTCAATACTGAAGAGGAAACTGAAATTTGATATCTATCTACATGGTGCGCTAATTGGATTAATGTGAAATGGAATGTGTGCTTTCCTGCAAAAAAGAAATAGGAAATTTCATCATAATCACATGATAATGGCTATAAACAAAATGGAGTTCTATCATAGAAGCAGAAAAACACAATTGTATAAATGCAACAACATATTATATATATTCGTTGAAAGAAGGGAGAAATGAAGAAAAAAATAGTATTTTGTTGTTGAAAGGAACACCAGCTTTATCCACTCATTTACATCGCTCCCTCATATCAAATATACTGAAGAAGATCTTCGAAGAACAAATTGCAAAAATGTTTTCTCTAAGAATTGAAGGAAATTGTTTAGTGAATGGAATAATTTATGTTATGAACTTTTACGTAGTGAATTGAATAACTGTACACAGCAGCTGAAACAGAGGAAAATTAAAATTTACAAGAAAAGTGTTTATTTTATTATTTAATTTGCAAATATGAACGCATTCTTAAGAACTCCACAAATGGTATGACATTCAAATTGGTTGCTTATTAATGTATACAATTGAAACAATAACAAAGAAAACAGAATACTTTGCTTCAAAAAATATTTTAAAAATCAAAGTTAAAGTCATATAAAGTATGTACAATACCTTGACCTAAACAGTCAGACTCACTATATTGTTTTTGTATGTCATGATAATTTTGAGTCATAAATTTATTAAAGTTTAAATATCATTTGTATCATTTATTAAGTCTTGTAAACATTATGTTCATACTGTTTGTATAGTGAAGAAATTTACAATGAGTAAAAATAGGGGAAAGCATTTCCTACAGGGAAAGTTGATGTACAGAAATTTCCTTAGAGGAAATTTGGAGAACAATGTTTTCCTTAGAGGAAATTTGTGGTATTGAATTTTCCCTCAAGGAAAAGTGTTTGTTAAATATTTCCTCAAAGGAAATTGCAGTTGACAAAATTTCCTCACAGGAAAAAGTATTTCCTCCAAGGAAAATTTGAAGCTGCAAATTTCCTCAGAGGAAAATTCGAAGCCTCAAATTTCCTCAGAGGAAATAAAATTTCCTCAAAGGAAAATTTGAAGCCGCAAATTTCCTCACAGGAAATAGAATTTCCTCAAAGGAAATATTAATGCAGCAAATTCCCTAAGGGAAATCTTTTTCCCTTGAGGAAAATACAATTTCCCTTAAGGAAAAATCTTTTTCCTTTAGGGAAATTTGATTTCCCTTGAGGAAAACTACTTTTCCTCTGAGGAAATTGTTGAAAAAAGGGGCATAACTTTTTCAACAGTGGTGCTAGAGCCAAAATTTTTTAGGACAAATATCAGGGAACCAATACCAACCAAGTTATCAACTTCATTTTGACTTAACTCCAAAAATTAAGGTGACAACTTTTGCACTCAGCGGAAGTGCAAACTTGTCCCGGAGACTGTTAATGCCTTCAAATAGATAATATAACTTAGAATTGTCCATCCTTATTAGAACAGCTTTGATTTACAGTCTAAGACGTATTCTAGGATGGTCTTATGATATTTCTAAAATCAGTCATAATAAGTGTCTTAGGACATGTCTTACGATACTTTCGAAAAAGAAGTCCCCTGCTGGTTAAATAAGGTTAATGGTTTTCAATGTCATTTATAAGGGAATTTCGAATATTGTTACTAATTTAACAATAAATGGCAACACAACGTTATAAATTAAATGCGTCCGAGGCGCTTTTCTGAATTTATCTTTATAAGGAACGCCCAGAGTTGAATATTTGAAAGCCAAGGATGTATAATGAAACATTTGAGGGGCCAAATAACCAAAATGCACCTACAAAATAGCCAAATCAATTTAAGGTCAACTTTGCCTGAGGGAGTTGAAACCGTAATTTCTATATATTTTCAAAATGTACAAACGGAAAATTTTAGAAAGGTTTGTTATAAATCACGCCAGTACCGAAGTAATCAGTCTAACTGTTGAGCTGATGATACCCACAGGAACTGATAGTCTACCAGCAGAGGTATCGACCCTGTGCTGTGAAAAAAAAGAAGAAAACAACACGTTATAAATTTCATGCGTACGACGCACTTTTCTGGATTTACTTTCTTCTGGAACCCCAATAGCAGAATATTTGAAAGTCAAGGATGTATAAGAAACGAAAAAGTTGAAGAACTATAGGTGCTCCTCGTCATTTAATATTGTAACAACTTTACAAATACTGTGTACTCTTGGAATTTTCTTGTATCAACATATTTCGATTATTAAGTTGTAGTCACTTATACGGGACTTAGTTTAAACTTGACAACTATTCTTAAGTAGTCTTCCAACGTACTTTAATTTGTAAGTTTCCTACAAAGATGAAGTTTTGAAAGTTTTTCAAAAGTGATTTTATATATTTTTCTTTAACAATATATTTAATTGTTTTGTCCCCCCTATTTTTTTCGTAAGGTTTATCAGAATCAACATGTTCTTCTTCATCAATATTTAACTCTGTTTTGTGGAGGTATACATGTACTATGTATGTATTTCGACTTCAAGCATCGACTATTTTTTTTCTGAAATAAAAGCATCTTTAACAAGAGAATGTAAGTATATTATTATTGTTTTGATTATGCAGGCTTTTTTTTATCTATTTTTCCTGGTTTTATGTAGTTAAATAATTTTCGTTGAATTGTTTTTCCTGGAACTTTTCTTTACACACATGTACGTAAACAGGTTGTACGTAACTGTTGGTATTCAACTGATCGATAGAGTGGAGGTTTGATATAAAAAAACAACCGCTACTACATGTTGATGTGCCGGACTCATAAATTAATATGAATCATTTGTTTTGCTACTTATAAACAAGTCACAGGATATAGTTTGTCCTACCAGGGTGCGAAATCGATGAAAATAGATCGGTAATTGGCAAATAAACTTTTGATATGTAAAAGATACCAAACTCATCAATGACGCTCGAATCATATAGTTAAAAGGCCAAGAGCATTGAGGATCCAATATTCCGAGGTTGCCAAATACGGCTAAGGTAATCTATTCCTAGTCTAGAAAATTCTTATTTCGAACAATTTTATGTTTTGAAAACAGTTTGTTTGTAAATATGACCATATCAATGATATCACACAGAAGTGCTAACTACTGGGCTGGTGATACCCTCGGAGCGGAAACCTCCACCAGGAGTGACATCGACCCAGTGGTTGTGAATATAAAACTGTACTGTAGTCCCAGTCTTCCGGTTTATTATTAGTTGAAATTTAGCTTTGCAGTAGATTTGAGTTACTGTGATTACTCATAGACCGGTACTTTGTGTCTTTTATCTTTTTTATCGTTTTGACGATCTGATAAGACAAGTCTTTTCGAATTGATTTTTACAGTTCTTGTGTTGTATTGTTACATCACTATCACAGTTAAAGGTTAGGGTTGAGCTCTTAAAACATATTTAACCCCGCCTCAATCAGTATTTATATGTCCATAGTCAGGAGCATGACTTCTAGAGGTTTCGTTGCTTGTTTGCCATACTTGATTTTTGTTTATTGTTGTATTATCAATCAGACCGTGAGTTTTATTTATTGAATTGTTTCACATTTTGTGTAACGTATCATTTTATACCTTACTATATGATATGAGTTTTGCTAATTGTTGAAAGTCATACGGTGACCTGTAGTTATTCACATCTTTGTCCTTTGGTCTTTTGGACAGTTCTTTCATTGGCAATCATATCACATCTCTGCATTTGTATATACTGACTTTGTTTCCATACGATAATATTTATTCTAATTATGTCTTTCAAAATGCAAACAAGTTTGCACTTAATTCAAATTATACAGGAAGTACTTGTCGCTTGGCAACTAATAAAGCGATCTCACTAAAGTCGGTTTGATGCAAAAATGAAAATCTGTCAATTATGCAGTCAATCTATAATGTTATTTATGGTTCCCTCGCTCCATAGATGTGTCCATTACAATATTGCCTCATTTGTTTTCAAAACTAGGGGTGCAATAGTTACTTAAAAATCTACGATAACACTACATCAAAAATGACAGACTGAGGAATATAATATCATGCTCTTTGGAAGGATAATCAACTCGAGCTCTACTTTCTGTCGGTGGTCTGGTAAGAAGTATCAAAATAGAAAGTAGCACAGATTAAGTCTACGACAAACGTAACATATTATATATGCATTAAAGCCGTTCGCCTAATTCCGTAAACAATGGTAATAACAATGCGAATACTAGTATTGAACGTCCATATAATAACCGTTGTATTTTTCCAGTTAATATGTTTTAAAGACAATTTTATGAATGAATTTGTATCTGATTATACGATTAAAAGCAATTTTGCGATAATTTACGTTCGGACCGATTGTGAGCTGTGCGTATAGTTGATTCATTGCCATTTATTCATTTATTTATGTGTTTCATGTTATTTATTTTTCTATTTGTAATATATATATAAATTTCTATGTTTTGATCATAGAATTAAAACAAAATAGATATTAAATTACATTCATTGACACTGAGAGCTTTTCTTGCTAACTCTTGCAAGAAATGTGCATTCGGATTTTTTTAAGTTCGTACACTCCACCATTGTCCACTAGTTCGAAGAAAAACACCACAAAAAATGGAAAAAAATAGTTTTAAAAATTAGAAGATTTGGTATGGATTTGGTATGATTGTCAATGAGACAACTCTCCACAGAGACCAAATCACATAGAAGTTTACAACTGTACATCACCGTATGGCCTTCAACAATGAACAAAACCCATAGCACATAGTCCGCTATAAAATCCCCCCCCCCCCCCCCCCCCTTAAAAATAAAATGGTAGATCCCTTACCAAAATTTTGGTAAATTTACAAACAACCCTTAGTTCCTCACTTAATTACATACAATGTTTTGGGTAACTGAGCTATAGGAACCGGTATCAAACATTCCTTCGGGCCCTGGAAGCGATAAAAATCCGATTTCTTGGGACCCCTGGAACCGGTATATTATATAACCATGTTTTATTTAGGAAACAATTCATGCAAGCCATCGATTTGTTGAAAATTTCACATGGCCTGGGTCGTTATATTGGAATTTTATCCCGAGCGTAAGTAAGGGATAAATTTAACGAATATAACGACCTAGGCCATTTGAAAATGAAAACAAATCTATGGATTTAGTAAAGTTTCCCACTGAGAAAAAAAAGGCTTTTTTGTGCACAAATCGCAATGTGACGTCGTCGATTTATTGTGGTCACAGTGAGGTTTATTGAGTATTTTATTATGGTTCTATTCATAATTCAAATCTAATTTGCAAATATCACATAATAATCTGATTTCATTAGTGGAATCCTTTTCGAGTGTTTGAAATTGAAAAGGTTAACATATCGATTATTCTGTCTTCTGCACAACGAAATAAAAGCAACTCGCCTCCTAAACATAGTGCGTTCATGTTACTACAAATAGTTGACCTTTGCGTTGACATTCTTTAGATTTACATCCAATATTTTAAAGTGATGAAAAATTCAAAATGTTATATTGACATCAATTCATGTTTAGGATACTTTTGATACCTTTCCTGATATTCTCCAGTCATAAATTATTTTACAAAAATTCATCCTAAAACAGTTTAGATACTTTCAACAACCCTCTAAATGCCCGTGATTTCGCGGGTGTGTTCTAGTATAGTATGATATTAAAGGCCCCGGGATGACAAAATTGTGAAACAATTCAACTGAGTAAATAGTCTGATTTATACTAAAACAAACAAACAAAAAAATAACTATGACAGAGGCTGCACCATTGCAAATAATCTAGATTAGGGAGAGCATATTAACAACATCACAGGAAAAGCCAGCCGAAACCTGGGTTTCTTTCTTCGAAACCTCCACATTAGTTTAAGAGCATGCATTATAAAATATTAGTAAAACCACAAATTGAATACGCCACGACAGTATGGAACCCGTACCAGCAAAACCACATTGATAAAATAGAAAAAAAGTACTAAGACGAGCTGCACGATTTGTAACCAGCAGACATAGAAACAGATCAAGTGACAGCAATATGCTGTGAATTCATTTATTTTCGTGGGTACCAATTTTCGTGGATTGAGATAAACTTGTATTTTCATGGATATTAGATTTCGTGGTTTTGCCAAAGTCTGCATACATTCCTTTAGAAAATTTGTAATTCGTTGAACATTTAAATTCATGGTTCCTCTGTGCCAACGAAATCCACAAAAATTGGTATCCAACGAATATTAATATACAGTGATTACGAAATTTGGATGGAAAAGCCTGCAAACAAGAAGAGAAGAAGCTAGACTCATCATGTTTTACAAAATAACAAACGACCTTGTAGCACAGACACTTGTCACAGAAGTGTTTTCCTATATACCTTTATATGACACTGTGTTATATCAAGGTACATAGGGGGGGATCTAAGCCTGTGCGGGCTGTGCCTTGTATC